GATTAGCTTTTAGAAGAGAAGATGACTGAATGCTGAACAACTGCGGTGGAGTTAGTGAGGGATGTAGATGTGCAATTCCTGGGATGAAAACTGAAATTGAACTATTTAGCACTTGAACACCTGCAGGTGCATTTGCAGCCAGAAACTAAACATCTAGGCTTGAAAACATCTCTGATTCTCCTTCCCAGAGATGACTCAGGGCATGTTCTTGTTTTGAAGTAAATTGCACTTCTGAATGTGATTCATATCTAAACTGTAAAGACCAAACTTTACTTTCTTCCTTCATCTGAAACCTTGGAAAATTTGTTAGGCTTTTTCCACTGTTCCCCAAAAACCATTCCATCGTTATCAAGAGGAGACCAGAGCACAGATGATTTTTAGCCAGTCAGTCAAGATAGATCTAACCTTGCAAAGAGCAGTTCTATTACCAGAATTGAAACAATTTAGTGTCCATCTCCAAAAACACTGCCTCATGGCTAAAATCTTGGCAATGATAGAGGTATACCACTGGGAACATATTTCAAGCACAGGATAGGAAGTTGCCTCCTCCTCCTCCAGACCCCAGGTCAACAAAGTCATTGAGTAAAAGTCCTTCATAAATTCCTGAAACTCGAATTTAACTCCAAGTTAAATTTTTCCTCCGTTACATTGCTCCTGGAGCCCTCTGCTCTGTGGGCTGGAAATCATCCTCTAATATCCACTCACAAGTCCCTCTGGAGAGTGCCTATACCCATTTCTTCTTGCACTGACATTGTCCTTGACTGTAAGTAGCTCTTCAGTTTCTGATGTTTACCCAACACTGATGTATTTATAGGCAGCAATAATAGTCCTTGCCAACCTTCACATTTCTAGGCTACAATACCACCATTTCAGATGCAGCTTATGAAACCTTCCTTAAGACTATAGCTCTCTGGGCACACTTTTAATTTCTGATATTATTCCAGGACTTCAGGAGGGCTTTGTTCTCCTCTGTGGTTTTTGCTCTAGGTAGGGTCTATACAAAGAGCCTAAAGAACAAGTCATCCAGATAAGAGACGAGAGGGGGTGGGTAAAGGCATTGGGAAGCAAAGACATTGGCCTAAGGTTAATCAATAGGAAACATGTTTCTGTCCTTCAACTCAGTTCGTGAGATTAGACACTTGAAATGATTCACTGCAAGAGAAGACCATGTTCGAGACCATCTAAGGAACCTGAAGGTGCACAAGTCCATGGGACTTGACGAGATGCACCTGTGGGTCCTGAAAGAACCAGCAGATGAAGTTGCTAAGCCTCTATCCATCACATTCGAGAAGTCGTGGTATTCCGGTGAAGTCCCTATTGACTGGAAAAGGGGAAACATAATGCCCGTTTTTAAAAAGGGAAGGAAGGAAGGCAGGCCAGGCAGTCTCACTTCTGTGCCCAGCAAGATCATGGACAGATCCTCCCAAAACCTATGCTAAAGCATATCGAAAATAAGAAGGTGATTAGTGACAGCCAACGTGAAGGAAATTGTGGATGCCCCATTCCTGCAAATGTTCAAGGCCAGGTTGGATGGGGCTTTGAGCAACCTGGTCTGGTGGAAGGTGTCCCTGCCCATGGCAGGTGGGGCTGGAATGAGATGATCTTTAATGTCCCTTCCAACTCTAACCATTCTATGTTTCTATGATTCTATGGCTTTTAAGTTCAAACTGGTATTAATTGTTGAGATCGCCTACCCACTTTTAGTCTCTGACAGTGTCAGATCACACTGCTCTATAATACCTGCTCTATTATATGGGTGGTCTACATTTCTTCTGACAGGGTTCTACAGATCATTTAATCAAACTCTTCCATTTCTACAGAGACTGCAGGAGCAGTTTCACCAACCACATACCAGACTGAAGCTCAAGAGGAGTTTTAAAGGATCATGGAACAAGGGGGGATAAAGGAACGCAGGACATTTGTTCCCAGGACAAATACCTGTCTACCCGTACTACTTCCTTGGTCACTACTGCACAAATAAAACATCTTCTGTTTGAATCCAGCCAGGTCACTGCTGACCACTGCCAGGAGACCTCAGGGGCTGGTACAACAGCACACTAATAAGGAAAAAGCCAGGAGAAAGGAATTTGGGTGTCTGCATTATCTGCAACAGTGAAGGAAAAATATGATTCAAAAAAACAAAAGAAGCATTCTAAACCTTTTTTTTTTTCTCTCCAGCTTGATTGGTTGATTGGTACTACTGATAGCAAGATTCCTTCTATAGAAAATTTCAGCTTTACTGTTGTGAGAATGTGATTATGTGGGATGATGAGAGCCGTGTCAGCAGGAACTGCCTGCGGGCACCTGAGGGATGGATCAAACCTTTACTATTAATGAGAACACACAGACAATGAGATTCACAGCAGTGCAGATACATTTAACAATGCCCTGTGAAGTGCCCCGAGCAAATCTCTCCAGATCCTGCGTTGGAGATCAATTCAGCTCTACAGCACGTTTGCTTTATGCATAAATCCCTCATTTTTCCTTCTCAGCATATTTCTTTTTGTTTCTGTGCTTGTTTTGCTTTGTGCTGTGAAGAAAACATGGCTCTCGCACTTTTAAGATCACCTACATTTAGACCTTGGGAATCAGCCTTGACTTGGATCTGTAGGAGCTCTCTCAATGACTCATTGCCATTCAGTCTGCACACCAACAAAAATCAAGTCCAATAGAAAGTAAAGTTGGGCTCCATTGTTTATTATTTAGATGCTAAATGCAATGTTTAGTGGCTTATTTTTCATTGCACAGCCGAGAAAATAGAATTGATTCATCTGATACAGAACTGGGGAAAACAAGGCTGGAATAGGTCTTTGGAGTAAAAGGGAGCTCCTGGCTGAGTTCTCCCTTCTCAGTTGTGTTGGGGTGTCCCTGCAACATACACACATGACAGATGCTTTCATTACTTGCTGCTACATCTGAGCTTTCTGACCCTCAAAGTATCCTTTGGTGTATGGTTCCTTAGCATTTAGGACAGTTGAACATTTTTACTGGGGTGGAAAGCGGGTTGTGAATGGAGGGCAGAGGGTTGCATAAGGGACTGAGGAAGATGGGGGTGGGGACAAGATCACATGGGATGCATTTGGAAGAACAGGAAGATCTGCTCTTCTATTGTTTCTTTACCCAGGAATTATCTAAATTTTCCTATTTCACCCAATTAGTAGATACCTTCTTCCATCCAAACTGAAACAGAAAAAAAAGCCCCAAATAATAGCACTGAATTATCAAAACTGATGTGCTCTTGGGACACTTTGAAGAGATAAGCGTGATGAAGAGGTGCATAATCTAGAATTTGTGTAGGGGAAATCCATAATGCAACATGAATCTAGACTGCCTTCACTGGAGCATCTTTAGAACTTTTAAAAACAGCTACAGACACTGAGGTCACGCTGGCTGGACACTAGATGTTGTGTTTTTTTGCATGATACAGTGGGAATTTGAAAAGATGGACCATCTAAATTCACAGCATGTACAGGGAAATGCTGAACTGCTGCGGTCCTTTTAATGCTGAAGCTGATTGCAAAATTTAAATCTTAAAGTTTAAATACCAGAAGAACAATTTAAAAGGGAACAGCTAGATGGCTTCTGTGTTAAAAGCTGGATATATTTATATCATATTATCGAATTGTTTTTGCGTTATTTACTCAAGCACTTATAAAAGATTCAGCATCGAAGCAGGGAATATAGTTATAATGAATAATTTGCATTCTTTATTCAGTGTAAATTAATTCAAGTCCCCAAGCACTATGGGAATTAGCATTATGGGCAAAGTAAAAAGGTTAAAATGGAAGTTTAAACTGATGCATCATAAATGTTTTAAGCTTTTTATTTTTATTTTTTTTTACCAGTAGCATAGATTATTCTGTTTATAGATGTTGGGGTGAAAGAAGATTCCTGTTGTTAAGAAGAAAGACCCTTTTGTTAGGAATGCTCAAGAGGAAGACTTAGCATAAGGCTTTGTAGGGATGCTCCACTCTAGGAAAGCGGTAATTCGTTCACTTAGGTCACTCTCAGTCATCCTATTGTAATCCTGGGGGGGTGGTGTTCCTCCACCTGTTTCTCTTGTGCTACTAATGTAAGATTTTTCTCAAGGATTACCATTGCTTAGCACATCGTGCAGTTGGTTCTGTGCTCAGGTTGAACACTTCTAGACAAGACAGCACAAATAGTACAGAAATACCAGTCAGATAATTCAATAAATAATACAGAAAAATCCTACCAGGCCACTCCTATTAAAATACATTCCTGTGACTCAGGCTGTTTCCACACAATACAATGACTACCTACTGCTTTCCGCTAAGTTTCCCCCTCTCCTGCCCTTTCTCTTCTCCCTGCAGCCCTAACTTTTCTTCACAGACTTTCCTTCACTGAGATACCCATTTGACCTGACAAACTCCCTTCTGTAGCACTGAACCAGGGAAGGGAAGTGCTTCTATGTGGTTTCATTGATTTGAATTCATCATTTCACAAGCACTGCTGGGGAAAAAGCTCCTCTAAAGATGTTTCTCTTGGTATTTAAGAAAGCTCCTGTTCTTTAATGAAAGAAAAATTGAAATTAACCCAAAGCAAAATGTAAAGATTTCATTCTATCTCCTTTGGTCTAGATCTGGGCATTATTTGTCAGGGAATGCAAAATACCTTTTGCTATCATGCAATGTCTTAGAAAAAAAGAAAACTTGCCCCCAAAACTTGCAACTCGAAACTCAAATCCCAGCTTCCCTTAATGAAACACTCTGTGCTCACTGAGTTTTTTGCTGCATCAATAAATCATATACAGTTTCTCTTCCTGAATACAAATAGGCTTTAGGTCCTACACACGGAAGCCACCATCACAGCTCACCCAACACATCAGTCAACAAAACCATGCACATGCTTGGGAGTGTAAAAGCCATGACCATTTTCCAAGACCATACATGACCTGGACAGTGTTATTAGAGGGCTTGAGTAACCCAGTAAGTGTCACACACCCAACCAAGTTAGAAGCATGCAAACAGATTACTCACCTCAAGCACAAGAAAAGCATAAAGGCAACTATAAGGGCCCCTACTGATATACAGTGCCCCAGGTAGTTTATGATGAGAGCAATCTTGTAATGGAGCGCATACTTCCTCTGGAGGTAAAGAGATAACATGATTAAATCAGCATGATTCTCTAAGCACTGACATTAAGGAACAGTTAATCAGTTTAGGAAACAGTAATTACTTTTCTCTACTTTAAAATGATATAATAGCCCCAGGGCTGATGCCTATATATAAGCCAAACATGCTGCCCAGGCACAGAAGTACAGGCTTGGTTTCATTTCAGTTTGGAATTTGTCCACAGTTTCTTAGAAATCTCAGCAAAAAAAAAGTTTTGTTTTTTTCCCCCGTTTTTCTTCAATTTCCTCAGGATTTCTTATTTTCATTATTACTTTTTTCTTTATTACTTATTTCATTATCACTATTTAAAACTTTGTCATTTTAGGGTGACATAGCTACCAAAGACACATCTTCTAACACATATATATATATATAACAGAAGTTATAAAATATTATTTTCTATTTTTTTTAGGAAACTGAATGATCTTAACGAGCCAGTTACACGACTTTCCTACTCAAATGGTTTCGTTTTCATACAAAAATGAATCAGCTGTCAGTAAGAATAAATAATAAGCCCTTTCCATACAGGCAGACTTTTCTCTGAGGTGCATTCCTTGCAAGCTACACTTCTTATCTTTCAAATTGAGGGCAGACCCAATGCAGACTGAAAAAGCTGGAATCTGTTGGTCCTTTCTGGTTTGTTAGGCTCTCTCCAAACTGAGATCTTGTTGTTTTTAGGAGAGACCCAAGTATGCAGTGAAACTTTATGTATTAGTGTCTGCCTCTTTCCTAAGAAGCTGGGGAGATTACTGGTAGGTTCTTCATCCTGTAAACAAAAAATTAAGCACAAAAGTGTTCCCACCTAAAACAGTGAATTTAGTGATGTGACCAAAATTTGACCTTGAAGTAACTGGAACGTTCTTTATTGGTGGGGGGCTGCTGGCTTCAGAGAAAGGAGAAGCATCTCCTTTCTTTGCCTGACAGATAGGAAGAAGTAGAAAAACACTATTCAGAGAAATACTGAAGCTAGTTAAAAATTCATAGAGGCTTGCTACTCTATATGTATATATGTATAAATCCTCCTGAAAAAAATATTTATTTATTAGGTTTTGCATTTTTTTCAGCTTAAGCAGATCTTTCCCCACTTCGGGACTTGTCCTCCTTCAGAAGAATGAGACCTTTGAGAACTAACCACCCAAATTTCCTCCCTTGTGATAAAAATATAGAAGTAGAATCCTACAAATGGCATCAGTTTTCCAATTTTGGTTGAACTTCCTTTGTTTTGTTTTGTTGTTTTTTTTTCCTAACAATTTCCCTTAACATTTTATTCCAGTCAAAGGAATTTGTCAGTGAATGAATGTTTGGATGAAACTACAACCAGCAGCTGTAGTTAATCTGTTGCATTGTTCTATGAAGATAGCATCTTCCAGCACTTTGCCAGGGAGCGAGCAAGCTCTCTTGGAATCATTTTTTGTGATGAAACCTGCCTATATCTTCAGCACATGGAGTAATGTGCTGTTTCTGGACGGAACTCAACCATCTAAGGTATTTATAAGTCTACTATAAAGTCTCCTAAAATAAACTTCCCCATACACAGGCCTGTTTTTTGAATAGCCTTAAGAAGAAAAAAAAACCAACACCCAAACCTACAAAATAGGAATTCCACACTGAGTTTTATTTATCCTTAAGCCACAGGGACACCTAAAGGGGAAGAAAACACACCTGACCTGATGCACCTACCTGAAATGCAAACTTGTACTGTTCAGCTAGTGCCCTGGCAAACTGCCTTGCTTATTTGCTTTCCAGTTTAATTCATAGAATCACAGAATATCTCCAGTTGGAAGGGACCCATAAGGATCATTGAGTCCAACACCCTGCGTCCCACAGGACTACCTAAAACTAAACCATATGACTAAAAAGCGTTGTCCAGAACTGCTCGTGTGGTGCTACAAATCTTCTTGAAGATGACAATGTTTCTCCCAGGCCAAGGATCCTGCTCTTTAAATCTGACCCTTCAGCTCCCTCCTTTGGCTCCTAACCACTTTTTCAACTTCACTCAAGTTTTAAGAAGGTATGGTTCAAAATGTGAGAAAATTAATTGAGAAAAAAATGTAATTAAGCTCCTCTTTGATGCACTGATGCTGATGGAAAACCAGGCATGACTTATTTTTTTCTGCTGCTGACACTAACAAGGTTTCCTGGAGGCAAGTTCAGATATCATAGAAACAAGAACTGCCTCGGTGCCTATGAAAAAACTAAGCTGACAGGGTGGCAAGATCACTTTCCACCAGCCTACATGCAATCTGCATCTCTGGTAGAATTGGAGACAACACCTTCAGGGCTGAAAAACATGTGCCCAGAATCAGCCATGTGTTGGCCAAAGCTCAGTTCATGTAAAATACTTGCGTAAGTCTTTTCTGTCTCACCCTCTTGAAGAATGATACATTTAAAACCATAATAACCTTCTACTATTACTCAATATTCTTCTGCTTCCAGGAAGATATTTCACATCATTAAAATGCAGATTTAAATCTTATTCAGGGTTAGGAGGAGGATCATTACATTAGAAAGGAGATAGACAAGGAGATGGTGTGGATGATCTGTTAGCCTCTCCAGACCACAGCAGGTGACATCACTGTAGTCCTCTTCCATGTCATACCTTGTACATGAGAACCAAGTTACATCAGGCAGGGCAATTATCCTCCAGCCAGCTTCTACCAGGGAAACTGAGGAAGCCCAGCTTTAGGTCTTTACCTGCACCAGCTCTTCACATCTAAGGCACACTGGGCACCCTGCAGCCAGATTTTAGGCTGATAATGGAGTCATTCTGTCTAGAGGACTTTCTCCTTTGCGTTAGCTGGGACGGGACTGCTAACCCATCCAAACCAAATCGGCTAATGATTTGAACTAATAAACACCTAATGACCGCACACTTAGCTCTCCAGATGACAAGGATCTGTCTCCCTCTAACAGAACTCCCTGACAGGTCCTGACAGTGTTTACAGAATGTGTCTTCCTCCGAGGCTCTGCACTCCATTCCCAGTTCAGCCACTTTAGATTTCTTCTTATTGCCAGGATGATCTCATCACTAGTTAAAGACACCACGTCTCCTCTCCAAAGACTTTCAGAAGCAACCGGGAAGTATCTTTGTCATCCAAGATGCCTCTGAGTTCACTGCCTTCGTGTTCTGAGCCAGCTGGAAGCTGGGTAGCTGTGGCTAATGTGACCATGCTCCTAAGCAGGATTCATTAAGTTAAGCCCAGTGTGATGCTAACTCAGCTACACAGCTTGACGCCACCTCAAAAGATCATCAGAACCAAATTCATATCCAGCTGCCATAGGCCACAGAGACAAGACCAAAGTCCCTAATTTATAGCTCTTTTTGGAGGCTTAGATCTACTTTTTGCTTCCTGAGACTCTCATTTGTCCTCCAACAAGAGTATAGATTTGTGCCAGGTGCAGCAAAGGTCCCTTTAACCCAGGAGCTCGTAGGCCGAGTAGAAGCTTTCCATTTGTCAGACAACAAATAGCCAGTTGGATCAAAATGGTTTCTGTACTCGATTCCTGTGCCCGGAGAAGGAGCTAACTGAACGTTCAGAGGCTGGGATTCAGTCTGATGTTAAGACACCTACATTTGGGTGTCTACCCAACATCTGAACCAAGATCTGAAGCAAGGCCTACGAACCTCCAGAACCTCTGGGCTTCCTAGTTGGTCCCGGTGACAGACCTCCATCTGCTGCTGGACACAGGTATTTTGGAAGGCCTGTGTCACACCTGCCAGGTGCATAGAGTATGACTGGGGCCTTTTAAACTACACCCTGTAACCACACACAGGCAACGAAATCCCAGCCAAAGCAGGAATCTAGGAGCAGAGCAGCCCCAGAGCACACTTTGATCAGCTACTGCCACAGGTCTTGACCCCAGGTAAAGCAATGATTTATTAATGTAATCCAGTTAACGTGTGTCACAGGTGCTTGTGCCCTCTAAGACTGACCTACAGCTGAAAAAAGCCTAAAATTTCCATTGCTACGTGACCAACACTCTGTCACAAAGCACGTAGGAGGGGACATGGAGTTGATCTTGAAAAGTCCTGCTCCTGTCCCATGTATCAATCACTGCATTTGAAGTCAAACCATGTAATTCTTTAGCCCTCTAGCTGTGAATGGCCAAGCTTGAAAGTAGAGTTGTTTTCTCTATTAAAAATAAACATGGAACACCTCCTGGCTGATGCTTAGCATCTGCTAGGATCAGTCCATAAATAACAGTAGACTCACGTGTGCCTGCATCTCACCTTTAATCAAAAAGGAGGATTATGGAAATCTGTGGGGATTTATTTATTATTTTTTTTTGAGACCACAAAGCAACCCAAATATTCATCTGTAACACTGAGCATTATGTAGAGATTTCAAAAATATTCACAAATATTAATATTTGCAAAGCTTGTAGCAAAATCTTTAAAGATCTAATAAATGAGTTTTTAAGCTTTTGCAAACAAGGGTGGGGGAACATCTGCACTTTCATCTGTTTAAGGAACATGCTATTTAAGACGTTTTAAGCTATCACCATAGCTGCAAAGTTTTTAAAAGCAAAAAAACAGTATAAAGGAAATAATCCTGTCCTCTAGTCACAACACTTTTCCAGCCTCTTCAAATAAAACTCCTCTCTGTTTGCTTGTGCAGAGAGATGGCAACTGTTCAAGTCATGCAGACAAACGCATAAAGAGCGTCATCAAAACACAGCAGCACGTTCCTGCTCTGGAAGAGCAGACTGCTCCTGTCAGCTCAGCTTTCCTGGACCAGCTAAACCACTTCAAAGACTCTGAGTCTTCCCCCAGCTCTGTTCCCCATTCTCTAAATTCAGTGCTGGCTGCTACACTCTCCACCTCGCTCATTTTTAAGAGGATGATTTCATAAGAAAGAGGAAATCCATTGCAGGCAGAGATGGTCTGCTACCATGGTCTGCTGTCCTCACCAACCCCAGCCAAGCTCTTGCTCCCCCTTCCCTGTGCTGACCCCAGCACTCCTGCAAGAAC